GGCCGTGCCGGCGGGGGGGGCCCGCAGCGCCTGAGGGCAAAGTCCGGAGCTGGGGGAGCCGGTCGCTTTTGTCCTTTCTCTTCGGGTGAGACAGCGTGTGCAGACGGTGCCTGGCTTCAGCGAACTGCTGGAGAGCACCGGGGAAGGGAACAAGGGGGGGTTACGGAGGCTGGGGGGGTGGGTTGCGGGAAGAATGGGTGCTGAGCCCCGACCCGGAAGGTCCGTGAGCTGCTGTATGTCAGAAACTTATTCATCAATCAGCCGGACACAGTGCAGACCTGGCCTCTCTTTGCGGAGTGTTTGCTTTTTCACCAATTATTGCGGCCCTGCAGCTCTTTTTGTTGATACAGTAGTTCTAAAAAGTGCTAATGTTCATTTATCAGGGGGCCGAGCCCGGGACTCCCACTAGTTCTGATTCTTCCAAAAATATAAACACGAAGAGAAGGGCTAAGACTAAAGCCCCCATTTGTTTCTAAACTGCAGTATTAAAAGTGATGCATTGTTGAAGATAAAGCGGAGATAACGCTGTCTGTCTCCAATGAATGTCTCCCCGACGCATTAATGACATTCCAAATGATAGCTCCGGCTTATCGTTCAATTAATCACTTCCACCCTCTGCAGCCGGGCCCACATCGATCGGGAGCCGCCGTGGTCTGGAGAAAGCCCGTCAGTCCTCAATTCCGAGCCGCTGGTCGCCCAGCATCTCTCCTGCCGGGGGATGCGCTCCGGGCCCGGGCCCAGTCGGGCTCAGACCCCCTCCCGGTCGGAGCCGCTTTCCCCTCCGGGTTCACCGGGCAGAGGGGACCTCCGGACTTGACCTGGGAAGGGGATTTTGGGCCCAGGATGGAGGAAGGGAGAGCTGGACGCCGTTTCTCCCGTCCCGAGGGAAGTGAATGACACCAAGGCAGGGGAACCTGCGGGCGCGGGTCTGGGAGGGTGGGATCGGCATCACTTCATTATTTGAGTATTTATCTAACCTATCTCGATTAGCTTGTAATAAAAATGAAGCAACGAGGTTTAGAAAGACCACTGAGCAGTGCATAGGGTAAGGGGTGCCGCAGACTCCCGGCACAATCCCACCGCAGGGCTCCCTGCCTGAGCCGGGCTGCC